AGCATACGTTCGTTCCATCTAAGAAATAGTAATCCTTTAGGGGAAAAGAAGGACACGGAGATGGGTACAGAATTCCGACGAGTCCCTCTCCGAGTACCTCAAAACCAATGGGAGACGGTAACGCAGATGCGACCGATCGACATTATAAGACCGGTTGGTGCGAGTTGGCCGGAGGCAACGCTATTACTGTTGGGACTGCCCCCATCTCGTTTCCGTGTGGTGGGGGAGATCTATCCGAAGGCGTTGCCGATCGATGCACGCTAATTAATGCCAGCTCGTGGGTGCAATTAATCCAACCTCAGATCCAAAGAAGAACTCTTTCCGTCTCATTCATTGCTGCTTGTCTGCCTGCTATAACGATGTCGTCGGATGCAGTTTGCCGTCGGCCAAATCTGTAACTTCTGTCGGTTTAAACAGCATCGACGGTAATAAGAATGACGCCATTTAAAAGTATTTTATCATTTTTATAATTAATTATTATTAGTATTTTGATCTTTATATTTTAAAAAATTATATATGTATCTCTATAATTACGAAAATAAAATATTTAGTTTCATTTACTCTAATATCATCGATTTTATCAATAAAAATAGAAAAATAAAAAAAAAATAGATAATTTTGATGATAACGAACGAAAAGTGAGAACCGTTCTGCTGCGATGTGACGCTGTTGCTGACTATTGTTGTTGGGTGAGTGTCGGAAGATACGTGGCGTTGCTCGTTGGTGGTTTTGCCGTTTGTTTTTGCTTCGTGTTTTCTGTTATCAGAAGCAATAAAACATGAAGTTGCTTCTTAGCATTCCTTTGTGTCACAAAAGTGTTGCCGAGGAAGGGAGGGACCGGAAAGCTTCGCGTTTGCTGACGGATGCTCTTCTCTGGTAATCACCTCTGTCGCAGCGCATGAGTTGGCTGTGCGGAGGGCATCTCGGCTGACACGGTCACGACTGCTTCTTTGTCTGCTTTAACAGCGAGTGGCTCTATTCTCGGTGCCGCCGCTGCCCACATTCCCCAATCTTGCTTCTGGTTTTGGTTTTGGGAGGAGGGCTGTAGTGCTATACCCATACTCCCCAGTCTTCCTCCCCCGTGACTGGCCCTCTGGCGTCGCCACCACCAGCTGCAGGACGCCTGGAACTGCGTTTGGCTTTCTGGCGACGAGGTGGATCGAGGTAAGCCGGGTCTTCCCCTCCATGTTCCTTTTTCTGGTTCTTCCTGTTCGGGTTTCTTGAATCGTTATCTGCCGACGGAGCGAGCGTGGGAGGGTTTGATTGTCTGTGGGGGAGAGAAGGAAAAGTGGGATGGGGACTTGGCTTTCGTTTGGCCTTCTTTCTTGGCTCTTCTCTTTTGGAATCATGAGTTTTGGATCGGATCGTGCGAAGAAGAGGATGCTTGTCGCTCTGGGCTTTCGTCTGATGTGCCTCTCCTCTTTTCCGCCTTGATGCTTGATTTGGTAGTGGTACGCGAGTCTTCTCACTTGTGGCTTCTTCTGTGACAAGGGCCGCGAAACTGGTGATCGGATGAGGCAAGTGGCGCTCCTGCTCCGGTGATTGGTGCTGATAGTTGGCCCCAAGGTTGGATTTTTGGCATCAGAATGAGGGATTTCCCTTCTTGTTTCGGCGAGAGTGGGGTTCAGGTTTCGGATTCCTCGTCGGGGGCCAGCCGAGCCGCTCAAAATCTGGTGACCTGTCTTTACCAGGTTCAACTCCTCGGTCGGTCTTGTGTGATCAACGTCACATGGAGCAAGAATCTGATGGGCCAAGGCCTGACCGTCGGAATTGATGATTTCGCCAACCAATGCCTCTGCAAGTTGGAAATCAAGCCATGGTTGTTCTCCAAGAGAAAGGGCTCCAAGATCTTGGAGGTGGAGAATAGCAAGATAGCTGTATCCTGGGACCTCTCTGCTGCCAAGTTTGGACCAGGGCCTGAACCGATCGAAGGTTTCTACATCGCGGTGGTCTTCCATCTTGAGATGGTGCTGCTGCTGGGGGATCTGACCAAAGAAGCCTACCGGAAGACCAATGCAAGCCCTTCTCCTTCAAATGCTGTGTTCATTGCCAAGAGAGAGCACATCTATGGAAAGAAGGTCTATTCAACAAAGGCTCAATTTTGCGACAATGGGCAATCCCATGAAGTTGCAATAGAGTGTGACACCATTGGACTCAAGGATCCATACCTTGAGATTCGCATCGACAGGAAACGGGTAATGCAGATCAAAAGACTCGCATGGAAATTCCGCGGAAATCAGACAATCCTGATCGATGGGCTTCCTGTGGAGGTATTTTGGGATGTTCATAGCTGGCTTTTCGGTCCGTCTTCTGGGAATGCTGTCTTCATGTTTCAAACTTGCCTTTCAGCTGAAAAATTGTTACCATGGTCTGCATCACAGAACTTTAGGGAATCTCGGTTGCAAGGCCTTGGTTTTTCTTTGGTTCTTTATGCTTGGAAAAATGAATAGTGAGGATATTTTTACTCTTTTCTTTAATTTTCTTTTGGGTGCTAACAGAATCTAGCAAGAAATATGTTTTTACTATCGAGAGTGAAACCCATTTATCTTTTGTTGTCACCCCTTGTAACTCTGTTCTGTTTTCATGGATTCGCAAGATTCTGAAACATTCACTTGTTTCTTCCCTCTTTTTCTTCTCTCTTTGTGATCATTATCTCATGTTAGACAGTGTTTTCTATTGATTGTCAGCCTACCATGGAGAAATATGTATTTGTCTTGTACATTTAATTGAAAACTTATGAAGATAGAAAATAGTTTGATGTTAAAGACTTATTAATCCATATTTGGTATCTGCAAGAATTTGCTGTTATAGTCTGTTTAGTTTTTGTGGTTGTTTCGATGTTTCTTTGTCCGTGCATAATCTTTTGCTAATTGAAGACTGCATAGATCTGATACATCGAAGATGCACCGAATTGAAGCGATTTATTCATTGTTTTATTATATTTAATCCTTCTTTCCTAGGCCTGTTCAGTATGAAAGCAATTTGAGCACAAAAGTGCTGAAGAAAGTAGGTGGTTTAAGATTGTCCAGATTGCTACACCTTGTGGATACCGTCTCCTTTATGTGTTTTGCTATGTTTTGAGCATTTCTATTTCATGCAGGAACATATAAGTAGGATGCTGTCCCCAAAGGGCATTTTTAGTTTGGTTGTCTGAAACTAGTTTTCTTTTCTCCTTGACCTGTTGGTTGCCGGTTATTTGCCTGCAACGAGATCAAATCATTTCTTAGCAGGCAGCATGATTTCAAAATTTTAGTTGAAGTAGTAAGTTTTGTTTTCACTGCTGCTATTGCGATCAAATCATTTCTTAGCAGGCAGCATGATTTCAAAATTTTAGTTGAAGTAGTAAGTTTTGTTTTTACTGCTGCTATTGCATATATGCTTTCACATTTTCTCAACCAACATTTTGCTTGCCACTGACCAATCCAATGTCTGTTTTTTGACCTCTCTAGGGTACTAAGATAAAGAAAAGTTCCACTAATGCATCAGGTACTTGTCATGCTACTGCATCAAGGCCTGCTTGAATTCTTGGATTCATAATCTGCCTATAGTAAAAGTTCATGTCGGTTGTATTTCCCGAAAAATGTATACTATTGCAGTGAAGTTATACACATCAGTTCTAACAAGGTATGTATCATTCTTCCTGCTACTGTTTGGGTTGGATATCATTGGTTATTGTCTAGCTTGTTACCCCATGACAGGGTTCAGAGAATTGTGCTGAGCCATTTTCCGACCAGGTTTGGGACCGAGATTTGTACTAGTTGATCCATATGAAATTAGGTTCTCTCTTCCCTAAAAGGTTCTATGGCTAAGTTTCTGATGAATTACCAATGCATGTGCTAAAGGTTTTTTGTACTGCTGTGTGATCTGTTTATAGATTTGTACGATATTCTTAAAATAACCTTTTTTTTAGATGTGTATTATCAAGTGCCTGAAAAAGGAATCTTATTATTTTCTGGATTTTTGATGGTAATCTCTATGCTGCACCAGATTTCATTTGTTAAGGTATCCTAGACATGTCTAATTTTCTTAAAATTTCAGGACTAAGGGGTTAAAAGATTTCTTGATCTTGATTTTGTCTTTATTTCTAAAGTCTTAATGAACAAGCAGACATTTGCACTGGCATTCTTGTTAGAAATCCAAGGAGAATCTACTGAATCATCAAGAACCTTATACAGGAGGGTTTTTCTAACAGCAGTTTGACTTGTGATCAATGTTAAATTTGCAACAGCAAATGTAACCCAACCTTTCTGGTTGAGGGGAAGTTGATGGGTCTTGGACAAGGTTTTTTGAAACTTTGAGATCTTTCTTGTATTTTAATGGAGCATGAAATGGAGCAATGGACTACAGGAAAAGAGAAGCAAGAGTGGCACTGTGACCAGCAGTTGGGAAGTCTGTCAGACAGTCAAAGAGCTAAAATAAAAGGGGAAAAGAAAACAGGACTAACCAATATGATCTTTGTTCTGCCTGGGTTGGAGGATTCTGTTCATCTTTATTGTCCTCAAATTACTGCAGAAAAAGTTAATCTGCCTGTGTTTCTCTATTGCAGCTTTCGGCGTAGTTATCTCAAATTTTCTTTCAGATTTACTCTTTCCGTACCTGAAATATGCGTCAGAGACAGTTGCAGTGCTTCACTAATTCTGGTCCACTTGAAGTGAGAAAGCTGCAATTACACTCTATGGTGACAACTTAATGTTAGATAAGATCAAAGCTTGACAACATTCGACAAGATCAGTAGCTATAGATAAGATCAAAGCTACAACTAGCATAATTTTATCCGACCCATATTACAATCATTCATTGGACTGGTAAACACCGATCAGTAGCTACAGCAACTGAGTGAATATAATCCATAGAACGAAATGAAGATCATAGTTATTATATGGTAACAAAATGCATGTAATCATTAGAGCAAATCTCGGACAAACGAGGATAGAATGCTTGTGTGCGACAAATTTAGTCATGATCAAAAGGCAACTGCTGCGAAGGATGACAACCAAATATGAGTCAGGAAAATCTCAAGCTTTTCTCCAAAAGTAATATTTCTATCACACTCAAACTGCACATACAGCGACCAAAAATAGTGTAAACGGTAAAACAAATGGAATATCACCCAGAACAGAATTGGTCGGTGCAAAATACAAGTAAAATCAATATACACTAAACCACTTGTAATGACAATAATTATGACCAGGAGGCAACTGCTGCAGCATAGAATTCACCTGCTTTCAATCATTTTCAGCTATATAATTCGGTTGCTCACCCTGGCAAAGGTACTCATCGCACCGTGAGGCAGATCCCCAGTCTCTTCTGAGCCTTAAAATATCCTCTGTGAACGTAGAACCTGATGCTCCTATGAAAACAGTTGACATGGCACAGATTGTTTTATCCAGCATCGCCTCAACCTGCAGGTGTAAAAGGCCAACTAGGTGAATTACTATGGGGGTGATAATTCTATGATGACTATCATGGTGCTTAATGCATTATCGTCAAGTATGTCATAAGTTTTTCAAGAGAGAAATGGTGCACCTGATTATCGCCACCTAACTTATTTCTGTATAACAAAGCATCCCATTTTTCAGCAGTATCATGATCAGGCCTCTTGAAGAGAGGAACCTGCTTGCCATTAAAGACAACTAAAGACTGGAGAAGGTTTGTTTCACTCTCAGCTGCATCTGTTGACAGGTATATGACTGGCACATCAGCTTTTTCAACAATCCGAAGTATACATTCTGCTGCCTGCGGAATAGGGAAAAAGCAACTCTCTGGTTTCAGATTGCTGCAAGTTGACATGGAACATGAATGTCAGACGATGAACACTTTTCTTTATAAATTCAAATTTATAGAGATGATTAGGTTGTCTTCTATAGCTCATATTCATTTCTCATATTCATAAATAAATTGCAAACCCAAGTTCTTTTGTCATATTTGCCCCTCTTTAACTCTTAAGGTTTTCTTCTTAAAGTCCACGTTTCCCCTTCCTTAAGTTAATGTTTTAATATTTGCTTCATGATATCTGTTTTAAATATACAGTTTCTCAATCTAATGATGTAAAATTTGATATGACTAGCACTTAGGATACTACCCGGAGCCACCACCCAATTTAAAATCTTGGCACCAAACCATCAGCAGGCAACTTCCAAAAACAAAGATCCCTAATTCACCAACAGGAAAACAGGGATGTCAATTTTTCATTGTCTCTATTAAGAAATTAAAAAACACCTCAGTTTATTAGACTTAAAACGTGTTCTGAAATATGGGGTCAAATTCAGCTTCATTGGACTTTCAACTCCCACATCAAAACTTACTTCGCTGTGCACATTGCGTTTAGCAATCAACCAGTACCATTGATCACCAATGCATCTAGGAAACAAAATCTCTTTCTACTTGCAAAGTAATTCCACAGAGCCCTCATTCTCATCAATGCCAAATTATCTTACTAACAAGAAATGAGCACCTAATTTCAGTTAATTGTCACAAACTAAAATGAAAATTTTAGCTTTGATGCAACATTTGGAACTAATCTATGTTTCAACTTCTGAATATATGGTTTGGATTCAGCTAATTATCAATAAATACCCAGAAACTGTTTTATATCCATTAACCAACATACTTATGGTATTACACAGCTCTCAATTTCTACGCCAGTTCTATGGCCATTTTTTGAATTATAAATTAAAAAATTATTAATGTGGTCAAATTGGTATATCTAAAGAGAACTATAACAAGTAAAAGGCACAGCTCCTGAAGAAAGCTCTGCTAGCATCTAACAGTTTTATATGACAACCACAAGGTAACATAGTTAAGAACTTAAATAGCTTTTATGTGAAGCTCATGATGATGCCTTAGGACCTGTGTCTTAAGATGCCCTCATTGGTAGGTAAAGTTATCATGATTCAGATATGCACCACATTAAGGCCTAATTCAGATAGGTAAACCCACACAGCAAAGACAGGTATGTCACTCTTACTAAAAGGAGATAACAAAACACTACTAATATCTGTTTTAATTAAAGTTCAGATCATCAGTTTCATCCTGACACTTGAAGATCTCTTCCCCTGAGAATGTCCTTGCAGGCCATTTAGTACCTTTGAATTAATGTCAATCACCTCTACAATTGTAGCATCCTTGCAAATGACCTGTTGCAGGCTCCAGACGCAAAGAGACCTAATTGATCCATAAGCCAATTGTTTATTACGATGCAGCTAAACCTGCTTTCAGATTACTGTTACCACCACCATGAAGGCCTATATCAGTCACCTTGGGCCTGACCCACTGGGACATTTGTAGGAAGTTCTATTAAAAATCTGAAGCCACAGTTCACGTCAATGCCAAAAGGAGGTCATTTCATCAGGCAAGTAAAGAGCTTATCATGGTCGACCATGTTTCATTCCTAGGTGACCCTAGAACCACAACTAAATGAATTCACAAGATGTGTTCTAGCTTGGGCAACAAAAAAAGGAGTCAATCTCATCACATCTACCCCCAAGTCATGTGTGGATAATTCCAGATACTTAATGAACTTGTATTATAAATTTGATGTTTTGATCAAGGTCTGACTAATTAAATAGGTCATCATTACTTATATCACATTAGTTAAATAGGTTATTTTCTTAAGAAGACTTACAATTTTTGTAGTCCCAGAGTAAAGAGATTTTGATGGGATGGCAAAAATTAATTTTTCTCATCACAATTATAAATGTACGAGCATGTATGTTCTAGAGAATATGGCTAAAATTAATAAATTCTCTTCTTCTCCTCAAATGTCTCCTCTCTATTCTCCATCTCTTTTCTTTCTTCCCCTAAAAATTCTCTCTTGAAGTTTACTGTCTTCCGTTGAAGAAAGGTGGAACTTGATAACAAGTGATACATCCTAACATGATTTCTCCTCTCTCCTCTTTCCATCATTTCTTTATTTATTCCTCTGAAATTAGTTATGCTACAGTTATTCTTTTTAATTACAAAACATATTTCTTTTACTTTAAATACCCTGCTCTCACACAGATTGACCTTAGATCATGGATGTCAATTTCAGATAACTCTTGCCAGTTCAAACCTTCTATAAATTTCAAAGAAATTATTTGAAATCTAATGGCACAGTGAACTAAACTATCATCCTAAATATGGACCTAGTGAGAAAGTGAACTATAAATCTACACTACTAATGATCATGATTAACTGACATCAAAGCAAGAAGATTCCTAACATCCCAGGATCACTATCATCAAACTTATCATTTAAATATTAGCAGAAGATCATCACTGAAAGTATGGCTCAAGGTTAATCTCAGACAAATTCAAGGTTTATTATTTAAAATATTGTTAATCTAAACCTCTATAATCTCTCACATTCTTCACTTCCAATTATGCCCAATGGTGATCATAATTGATCAGGTAGCACCATAAACAGCCTAAAGTGCATAATCAACTTCTCCTTTTTTAACAACCTATATCATGCAAAATAGTTCAAGAAGCTTCTTTATCTCTTGACATAAGAGCAAAGTGAAGTAGTTCTTGAATTTAAAATTTTGCATAATTCTACCTTATTGCTTCATTCAAAAATGTCCAACTTCCTAATAATCAGACCTTGCCTTACACAAGGTTTTTCCTGTCGAGTCTTTTGCCCTCTTGATTCACGATCAGCAAATGGTAAAGACCACTTCTTCCCACCAGGCCTTGTTCTCTCAGTAAAGCTTGCAGATGCTATATACAATCTTAGGAGATTGACACCGAAATCAAGTGTCATTGTAATGTAAGGTATGGCATGGGAGAGACTAGACATGGTTGGGCACAATTTAAGTAGCTTTGCTCCTTGCAAGTTAGTGACAGGATATCAGATGCATATAGACTGAATCAAATGGCAACAAAAGAAATATATCGCATTAACTAAAAAATGTTAGACAGGTAGCTTTGGTACACCACACCACACGATCTAATCAACTAGCAGTGATCGTTGAGATCTTCAACAGTAAATAGTAGCTTATAAAATGTCACGAGAAAATACCACATCTTTAAAGATTTAGAAACTGTATCAATTGTTTTGGGATGCTTATTTGCTTGATCACATTTGAAGACATAAATCAAACGTACAGCACAAAGGTAAAGGATTAGCTTACCAGAACTTCAAGAATCCATGTCGACGGAAATGCAGAGCTATGAAGTTGCTGCCCAAGAAGGTCTGCACAAACCGCTGCGCTGTGAGATAAATGAATCGACTTGGTTGGATCAACGTCTTGCATTTATGAGCAAGTGGACCACCTGGCTGTTTCATCCACTCTTCCTCAACATCCGCATAGAACACATCCCCAATTGCGATAACCTCATCGTTAGATGTGAATTTAGGCATGATATCCCCAACAAACCTCTTCTTTTGCATCTTCAATTTGGCATCCTCAGGCCAAGCAGCTTCAATTTTACCGAAGGAAAGCCCCAAGTCCTTCAATTTCTTAATGTGCTCCTCATCCAAATAACAAGGTGGCGAAGCCATGTAGCATATGAACCTATCGATCTTCATCTTGTTCTTGAGTGTTTCAGAAAACTCATCGAATTTAATGACTACCTTCCTACCAAAGCATTCATTGATGTGATCGATATCCAAGACCTGATCATACTGGTAGTCGAATCTGGGGCTTGGAAGGACCAGCGCACGGTCCAGAAGTGCCGCGAAGAACATGTGCTTCTCCAGGCAGATCAGATGGTTAGACATCTGGCCCGATAAGCAGATCGCGAACAAATACCGGTCTTTCTTCGGTTCCCACTCGATCGTCCTACTTGCTGGTCGATCCACCTTCCTGCACACATCAACTCCAGGACCAGACATGCCAAAGAATACATTGTCATCCGAAGTGCCCGACGACGAAGAGTTCCCAACATTGTGAGAAGACAGGAGAGCGTTCTGGATCTTCTTGTTCAACTTGATCTGCTCGAACAATGCCGATCTGAACTCATCGAATGCTGCAGCCTTTGCCAGATCTGTTCTTACCGAAGTGGAATTCGGGGCTGAGGAAGGAGGAGCAGAGACGTCCAAAGCGACAGAACGCGTGCGATTCCAGAGCTTGAGAAGGCCTAATTGCTGGTCCCTGAGAAGAAAGAGAGCACGGAGCTCGGACTCCCGCATCCGATCAAGCGGGAAGTTAGCACCGCCAATAGAGCCACCGCGGTAGAAGAAGAGGAGGACGACGACGATAAGCAAAGAGAGGAAGGCAGGAAGGAGGAGGAAGAGGAGGCAGCATCTGCGGGAGAAGAAGCCGCGATCGCCGATCCGAGCGGGGAGGTGACCGATCTCGAGGGCGGAATTGGGGTGGGGGCGCTTGGTCTCGTTCTGAGGGACCAGATTGCGGTGCTCCTCCTCTTCGTCTTCCTCCTCTAACTCGTCGTCGGAGGCGGAGGAAGAGGGAATTCTCGCCATTGGCAGGTACGCTAGACAAGGGATCAGCAGCACCAAGCCATGTTTCACGAAAAATCGCCTGCGTCGGCCTTCTTGGATTAAGACAGGTTACCGGAAGACAGTGATAGAGCGACGGCTTTGCACTTTGCTTAGAGGGAGTCGGGGGAGGATTTGATCGATCGGATTCCGGCGAATTTGAACGATAGGGTAAATAGATATAGATATTTCACTTTCACAACTATAGGAATTCATTATGAGCCGGTAAACCTGATGTGCTCAAACAGAACTTGGGAACTAATTCTGCAGCCGTGCAACTTACCTACGCAGAAGCTTAACGAATACATTGTGGAACCAATCAAATTATTTAGGGGCTTATATATATATATACGAGAGAGAGAGAGAGAGAACTATATGGAATAAGTATAGTAGTTTCGATTATATTTTCAACTAGTAATAGATGTACCCCTCAACAGTATACCTGGATGGGCTCAGACACAACTTTGGTTCCTCTTCCATCTTATTCATGCGTTGAAGATACCGCTCAGTTAGCAGAAGAAATCATGCATGGGTTCAACATGCTCGTGGTATCAGTTGCTACCATGTTCTCTAACTTTTCTTCCTTTTCTGTCTGTGTTTTCTTGCATTTGTAGCATTGCTTTCTGGACGGACTGTGATGTTCCGTCACATCAAACGAGAGAGACAGCAATCATCGGTGTATTATATTGATATCTCATTAAGGTAATGTTCGATGCACTTCAATTATTGTGCGTAACATACTGCGAAATCGATGTAGCTTTGACGATCCTTTTCATGGTAGTGATGATGATCCTGCTTCTGAGCAATGCGAGAACATTAATCAGAGGGTGGCACGCTCGGGAACAGCAAAAGGCTGAGAGCAAATGCAGAGAGTCGTCAGATAAATGTTCGTGTTACTTTTTCTCGCTCTCGAACGCCACCTGCGAGCCTCTCTCGTCGCTGCGCACAAGACGACATCCACCGCTGTGTTGTATGCTCGGTCCACTGTGATCGCAGAGAGCTGAGGTACAGAGAGCGAAAGTGTCACCGACGCAGCAGTCACTGTGGCTCCGTTTTTGGCTCTATTCGCAGGCCTCTTCCCATCCTGCCCCCCCTCCTTCCCCCTCCTCCGCGGATACATCCAACGCCATGTTACAGAACAAGAAGACAGTGAAAGTGAAAGCAAGCGGGGAGTGGAGATTTGGGGAAGAATGGCATTACAATGATTCATTTGAACCGCAATGCGGAAGGAGTGACGGCAGTGAGGGGATTGAGATGGTGATTAGAAGAAGGGAAGAGTAAGGAAAGGGGAGGGAGGGGAGTTCCTCTATCGATCTCAGGAGAAAGAAGAGAAGAGAAGGTTTGTGGAGGATGGCAACGCGCTTGACGTTTAGCCTTCTCATGGCGACGCTGGCGTTTCTCTGGTTATCGTGCGGGATGGCTGCAGCGAGGAAGCGGTTGGAGGTGCAGCGGCACCTCAAGCGTCTCAACAAGCCTCCCGTCAAGACCATCACGGTTCTCTCTCTCTCTCTCTCTCTCTCTCTGATTTCTTATTGGATTCTTCCACTATTTAACAAGATCTGAAGAGTAACAAAGAACATATGAAATTGCAGAGCCCTGATGGAGATATCATAGACTGCGTGCATGTCTCTCACCAGCCAGCCTTCGATCACCCTTTCCTGAAAAACCATACTGTGCAGGTTTGCCTTTCGTTGCTCCTCCCTCGCTCTCTTCTCCTTATTACCAGCTGATCCACCTTCTTCATCACTGTGTTCATCCTTTTGTTGGTCTCTCTGTGTTTCATATCAGATGAGGCCTGCCTTCTACCCAGAACGCACTGCGAACAAGGTGGAATCACTCAAGAACAGCCCCTCCATAGCTCAGCTGTGGCATCGTAACGGGAGGTGCCCCGAGAACACCGTCCCCGTTAGGAGGACGAAGAGGGACGATCTGCTGAGAGCAAGCTCCGTGAAAAGGTACGGGAGGAAGAAGCATAAGAGCATCCCGATGCCATTGACTGTTGACTCTGACCTTCCGAACGAGAGTGGCCATCAGGTATAGTCGAAGACAGAGTTGCCTCTTCCTTCGTTGTTTCTTGCTGGCTCTCATTCTCCATTTCTCATTTGCTTGCTCTTTTCTTGGTCCCTGTGATCAGCACGCAATCGCTTATGTAGAGGGGGACAGGTATTATGGAGCTAAAGCCACCATAAATGTGTGGAAGCCAAAGATCCAGCAGACCAACGAGTTCAGTCTGTCCCAGCTGTGGATTCTAGGCGGCTCTTTTGGCGAAGATCTCAACAGCATTGAAGCTGGTTGGCAGGTGTGTTTCTCCCTTGCTCCCGGAAGAATAAGAAACAGTACGTAGCACTCGTTCAACTGCGCATTGACTTCTGCTCTGCTGTGTTCATGATCAGGTCAGTCCCGATCTCTATGGAGACAACAACACAAGGCTGTTTACTTATTGGACTGTAAGTAAACACTTGTTCCTCCTATCAAATCCCTCTGCGTGTGTTCTATTTGTCCTTTCAAGGTCGATTTCTATGGCTAATGTTTCACGTTGAATCATCAGAGCGATGCTTATCAAGCAACAGGGTGCTACAACCTGCTCTGCGCAGGATTCATTCAGATCAGCAACGAAATCGCAATGGGCGCCAGCATCTTCCCCCTCTCCGACTACGGCGGTTCGCAGTACGATATCAGTATACTTGTTTGGAAGGTACAGACCAAACTCATGCATCTCATGATCTCTGCTGCCTGCTTTTCTTCTTTCTCACCTCATCCGTGTTATAAACAGGATCCACAGGAGGGACACTGGTGGATTCAGTTTGGCAACGACTACGTCTTGGGCTACTGGCCTTCGTTTCTGTTCTCCTACCTGACAGAGAGTGCGTCGATGATACAGTGGGGAGGTGAGGTGGTGAACTCAGAGCTAGAGGGAGAGCACACCTCGACTGGGATGGGCAGTGGCCATTTCCCAGAGGAAGGCTTTGGCAAGGCAAGCTACTTCAGGAACATTCAGATAGTGGATGGATCCAACAATCTGAGGGCACCCAAGGAGGTGGGCACGTTCACTGAGCAATCCAGCTGCTATGATGTGCAGAATGGCAATAATGATGACTGGGGACATTACATTTATTATGGGGGTCCAGGTAGAAACACTGGTTGTCCATAGAACTCTTTCTACCTCTTCTGCTAGGCGAGTGTGAAGTTACTTCCACCTGTAGAAGTGAGAGCAGAGGTGCTCGAGTTTCCTTGAAGAATTCATGTACCTATTTGCTGGTCTGTAGTTTTGCTGCTCCTCGAAGACGCTTCTTCTGTTGATCTTAATGGATGCAAGATATAGTGGTGGCTGTGAGCATGATTTGAAATAAAGATCTTGGAGTATTGCTAATCACAGCATGAATACCTTTGCTTCCACAGCAGCTTAATAGGCAGCAAACATTGCCTTCCAAGTGAACAACAGGTACAGGGTGGGACCTGCCCTCTCATAATTAGCATCTAAGCTTCTTTAAAAGATAAAAAGAGTTTCATATTTACCATTCTCCTGTTGGAAAATTGTTTAGATAACTATAAAAAATATATATAAGTTCGAATTTTGCTGAAACATAGTTGAACTTACAATTTAGAGTGGGGTACATACACAGTCACAAACACCCAGTAATAATATATATAAGAAATAAGGTACAGACAGCTCGATTTTGGCCCCAGGAATTACCAATCGAACACCCTTGTCAATGTTTCCCAAACTCTTCTCCTTATAAGGCAGACGGCTCCCTTCAAAGAGAAGTGCTCGAATCCCTCCTGCTATCTCAACTTCCGTCGGGAACAGGAAACGTAGGAGGGAGCAAAGAAAAAGCCATCTACTATTCTTACCTCGACGGAGGCAGCAGCGACAGCTCTCAGGCTTAGCCTCGTCGCGCTGATGGCCCTCGTCATGGCGTGTTCGTTCGTCGAGAAGGCCCCCGTCACCGAGGTTCCGGCACCCAGCCCCACCTCCGAGGCCTTCGTGACCACTTCCGCCGCCGAAGGATTACCTCTTCCTCTGAGGACGCCATCCTCGCCCGGTTGAGTTCTACTTTACGTATGTGCGTGCGGTGATTACGTGTGTGATTGGCCATGCAAGTGACGGGTCTGCGTCTTATCAAGCTGATGAACTTTGGTCCATTCCGAAGACAACGAGACCACCGTGGCCGGCTTGTATTTATGCACTGCATGCAATGACGGAGGAGAGCAATGGGTGGACGGGCATCACGCATGGTGTCCGCTACATCCTAGCTGTTCACGTGGATTCTTGGACGTGGAAGGGTCCCATCAATTATGTACGGCGTTTGGCTTCCCATTTCCTATGGCCCCCATCGGCTTCCCGGTGCCACCCTGTAAAGTGTGCCTCCACCGAACCAAATTAGTTAAGATTAACCTATGTTGAGTTAGATATACAAAGCTTTTAATAGAAAATTCTAGAAGCCAAATTTGTCATTGGAAGTGACAAACGCAATCGGATTCGCTTCCAATCTACTCCGTTGACTCAGTAAAAGATGTTACAGGAAGTCACTCAGCATCCTCACAACTTGATTCGCTTTGGGCCGCTCCTCCGGGCACTCTGCAGTGCACATCATTCCGATCTTTACCATTCCCATCACCTCCCCTTCGCTTTCAGCGTCATCGATCTCTTTGTCTGTGACCACTTCCAATAGCACCATCCCAAAGCTATAGACGTCCGATTCCTGGGTAGGTTGCTCCTTGCCGTTCACTAGCTCAGGCGCCCTGTACCCGAGCCTGGTCGTCGTCCCCGCCGCGAACATTGCTCCGTCAGAGAGACAACCTGAGGGATAGTGCGGCATAGCTTGGTGGAAGTTGGACGCGAATCGCATTATGCCCCATTCAGCTATGCATGCGTTGCCCTGCTCGTCGATGAGAATATTTGATGGCTTGATGTTGGCGTGAACCAGAGGGGATCGCGCTGGGAAGGCATGGATGAAGGCGATGCCTTCCGCCGCTCCCATTAGTATCTGCTTCCTGCTAATCCAGTCCAATGTTCTTCCGCTTCCTTCACCTGCACAAGAAAGACAGCCGTCGAATGATCGTGCGATTGTCTGCTGACTTTTGCTGTTCTAAGGAACTTACTGTTGCTCTGCAAGAGGGAGAGAAGGCTTCCGTTGGGCATGAAGTCGTAGACGAGAAGCTTCTCCTCGTGGGCGTTACAGTATGCTCTCAGGCTCACGACACGGGGATGTCTCACTCTCCCGATGAGATGCATCTGCCGGTCGAAGGCCTTGCAATGGGACGGGAACTGCACGGCGCTGAGCCGCTTGACGGCGACGATTATGCCGTCCTCGAGCACTGCCCTGTAGGTGCTCCCGGAAAGTCCTTTGCCCAGTACCTCAGCAGAAGACTTCAAGAGGCAGTCCAACCTGAGATCTTCTCCTCCTTCAAAGCAAATCAGGCTTCTGTCCTTTTCCTTCTCTTCACGTTGCAGTTGATCAGGCTCGAGCTCCCGAATGCTTGCAGCGGCGCCGTTCAGAGACGTTATGAGCTTCTTCCTCAACCAAAGGTACATTCCGACGATGACGACCAAGCCGATCGCAATCACCAGCAGGTCGCTTATACCAATGGCTAAGAGGGCAGTGAAACCAACTTTTGTGGAAGATCTAGGGCTTGAGGAGTCAGTGGCAGACTGTAAAGAAGCTGGAGAAGGGCTGACGGCGGTGGTGTCATCTGAAAGGCGAGAAACCTCACCGCAGCCAGGAAGAGGTGAGCCGCAAAGGCCTTGGTTCCCTTCGAAAGCCGAAGCTGGGAACTTCGACAGGAGATCAGTGACCTGCCCAGACAGCTGGTTGCTGGATACGTTGAAGTCACTAACATTTGGCAGCCGCAACCCCTCAACCCCACCGGAGAATTGGTTGTGTTCGACCCTCAGGGAAACTAAGGAAGGCAGCGACACGTTCAGAGTCCCACGTAGTTTATTGTGGGAGAGGGAGAGACGCCGTAGTCTCGGATTGTTCAGGGTGGTCAGATGAGGCAGCGAGCCGGTGAGATTGTTCCTTCTGAGGCTGAGGACGCGAAGGCGCGTGAGGCCGAACAGAGGCGTCACGCTCCCCGTAAGGGATGCGTGGTCGAGGCGGAGGCCGACGACCCTGCTTCGGTAGCACGTCACGCCAATCCACGAGCCAGAGCATGGATCGTGACCCTCCCAGCTACGCAAGACGGCGTTGCAGGGGTCCGCGGACGCCTTGAAATAGAGAAGGAGATGAGCATCACGTCCCCTGAGTGCATGTTCATGCGCAGTAGTTACAATTAGGAAGAAGAAGAAGACGAGGATGAAGTACATGTTGTGGGACGGCATTGCTAAGCCGAAGCATGTGATACGGTTCATTTTATAGAATGAGCTTCTTATAGGCAGGCAGCGTTGGTCAAGGGAAGAAGAAAGAGAGAGAGAGAGAGGGAGGCGGGAGGGTTGCAGATTTGAAAAGGAATGATAGGATTAAATGGAATGGACATGGAGAAGGTTCCAAATGGGAAGGGTTGTGCGGTCAGTCACTTCGATGGGTGGGAAAGTCGAAGAGCGGCGACCGAGGCAAAGTTGACTAACGAGCAACGAACGTTTGGGTGCGTTTGCAAGCGAGTAGGGGAATTGACGTTTCCTAAATATGCTTCTTTGTTCCGAGGAACAAAACAGGTCGCCGTGGTAAGACATCTTTGTTCCTACTGCGCTTGGATTTGTCTGCCGGGAGTGATCGATCGGTTTCTTGCGACGCCGCTGATGTGTGATGACCGCAGTTAGATGGCACTCGCTCATGTGCTCATCGGATGTCATATGTCGTGTCTCGGTGATCAGATGAATCCATGTCCATAACATTTTATTTTTTGTACACATGGTGAACATTTTATGTGGGATGATTAAGTTATTACTTATAAATTTAATAAAAAAATATAAAGATAAAATATATGATGATTTAAAAAAAAATATTATTTTTTGGGTTTTTTTCTAGAAGGTATTCCGTTTTTTACTTTTACACTTGGTATATCTTTTTTCCTTTTAATATCTTAAATATATTTCGACGTCGCTTAGTCATCTCCCTCTAATATCTTTAATGTCCTTTATTATTGTTTATCGCTTTCATTGCCTTTACCTTGTTGTTTCTGTCCTAATGTGAGTCTTCGTTGCCTTAGCATGATTTTGTATCGTCTTCACCTCACTTTCTCTTTTTTTTTCTTTATGCTTACACTCTTTTTTTTTTTTTCTCCATCCAACGATCGTTCACATAGAGACAACGACGTCTTGCGAAGGGAAATGAGACTTTCATGATAAGTGGAGGCGATTGAACGAAAGCAATGAGTAACAAACAATGATAAGGATATTTATAATATTTAAAAAATATCAAATAAAACAAATAAAAACTAGGGAACCAACGTGATATTTTTCAAAAAAATTCACCCATATATATGTATATAATTATTCTTTATTTTATAAAAAATATATATATTATATAATAATCCATAGAATTTTGTATATAATATTTTTAATTTTTAATCATGGTTATTAGAAAAAAAAATACATTCACTAATTAAATTAATATTATGTATATTTATCAAAGTGTAGTAACTAGTATTTACAAATATAAAAAGTCTTTATAGTGAGCTTTAATATTTTAGCCTTAAGTTACTATCAATATTGATCCTTGCGAAGCCCATTTCAAGAGTCTTTTTCAGTATCAATCTTTCTACAACAGAGAGATCCTCATCGGTTTGGCGACACACCGGAATGCGTTTAGGACTTGAGCTTGATGTTGATCTCTGTTGGCGCAAGACGGGTTGGCCATTTGTTGGTGACCACAACAAGAGAAGATAACAATACTCTTTTAAAACGAACAAAAAATATTTATCATGAGATAAAAACGTAATAAGAAAACATATTATTATTGTTGTAATATAGAACTCACCTACTGAATAAGATCAATGTAGAAGATCCCAAATGATTGGGACATTTACCTAAGCATATATATATATATATTATTAATTTACGATGATTATGTTATCAAAGAATTTTATCATATCCTAGAGTTATTTTTTTTTCTCTCTCTCACGAATTATAATGCATTGGATATAAGGTTTTCTAAATTCATGGATTTAAATAAAATTATGACTTTGTAATAATAAAAATATAAAGATTTCATTATTTTTTGTATTCCTTCTTTGCTTTGCTTTTATCCTTTTTCTTTTTCATATTCGTATTTCTTCAATCTATGCATTTTTTAATTGTTTATTTTTTTTTACATGTCGGATTATACCGGAAATTGATTATTTCTAAATATTGGTGTGAGATTACACCCGTCCGGCCTATAACAAAAGCGACCACACCGGCGTGAACGGAGAGTTTAGGGCGAGGCGAGGGTTTTTGGCAGGCCGCGATGCAGACTGCAAGGAGACGATTCTTGCGGACCCTCCTCTTCGGCCGCTTCCCTCCTCCACCATCGCCTGCCTCTTCCTCGATAGCAACCCTCGTTCGCGGATCGTTGGACAGATCGCTGCCTTGCGCCACCCTCGCGGCACCGTGGTCCGCATTCCAAAGCCGAGGCGCTAAAGTGCTGGGCACCGATGTAATCGTCTTTTTACCCTATATCTGATCTTTCTGGATTCTTTCTTAGATATATGTGACTGATGATTTTGGCGCTCTGGATCGTTGTGATCGTTAGTCTTTGGATGATAAATTTCGTGTGGAAGTACAATTTCAGTTTGATATTGTTGTAAACTTGGCACAAAATTTGTGTCGACTTCGAGACGGTCGTGGTGACGCAGGGGAAGGGAGACAATGGTGAAGAAGAGGCAGCGGCACATGAGGATGAGGAGGAAGAGAAGGAGAGTACTGATCAGTAGGGCTTGGAGGCGATGAATGTGGGCAACGTCGGACAGAAGTGACGGGAGACACAGACAACGACAGACAGATTTTGGCGACGGCGGATGCAATAGCATGAGAAAAAGCACACAGGATGGTTTAGGTGTCAGGGTTTTTAAGATTCTTAATTTTAGAATTAAAAAATAAAAAAGAAACCAGATTGGGTTTATCAGGTTGCAATCCCTGTATTACATATGGACCATCCGAAATTGGATGGTCTGCGTGCCGAGTCACACCTGTTCCGGTAAATATCGGACCATAGTACCAAACGTGGTGAAATTGGATTCCTTGGTTTGCAGAAGATAAATATCAGAATGACATTTGCAGGATACCCCACCATGCTAGTACATGGTATCCATCTCATTTTTTGTATCTTGCTGCACCTAAGTGGTGTTAGCTATAGCATCTTCTTCGTCACCATCTCTGTTTCCAAGCTTGGCACCATGTACATTGTTTTCATGGCTTTGATGAATACATAAGGTTCTATTTCCTATAAATATCCAATTTTCAACTCTGGGAGCTGCTTGAATCGTGTTGTTTAGCAGCCCCCAAGCCAGATCGATTGCATGAAATTAACCCTCTAATCGGTGTTGAAATTGCATACTTCCAAATAAGTTTGTAGCTCTGCTGTTTCTGTGTAGGTCCGAAAATCAAGACAGATGGATTGTCTAAAACTGTGTTGATGTTCTGCTTGCTAATGGAAATGCATAAATTAGATGAGTTCATAGTTGATCTATATTTTTGAAGTCTGAGAGTCTGTGTGGCTTTTGATTTCAAAGTGCTTAACTCTTTATTCTGCAAAATCATCTTTATTGTAGTAGTGAAAGATAAAGCTATTAGCAATTGATTTTGTAATATAATAACAATCTTTTGGATGAAAAAGTGCTTTTGTTTAAGTCTTCTGTAAAGATTCTAAAGAAGCAAAATGGCTTGTCCTACCATTAGTTACCACTCTGAAATGTGTTATTGATATTGTGTGTAGGTGAGGATTGGGAATGTTATACAAAGAAAAGGTTGCATTTTCATTCACATCTTCTGTCACTTCAGATTTTCGTATTAATGAACTTGCTAATAAGCATTGACTCATTTGTTTCACTTCATCACAAAGGCCGTATGTATCAGGTATGTTACTGATAAATTGTTGTGCTCATCCAGTTGAGGATTTATACTTTTTTTTCTCTCTTTTGCATTTGATCGAGGTCTTTACTTTTGCTTTTTTTCATCATAGGTACTAAAAGCACAACATACACAACACGGAAGGGGAGGAGCCACAATACAGGTACAAAGAAACTGTCCATTCAGTCCTTGACAATATCGATTCACGTTTGCATTGATTTTATGAAACTATGGTCAGTCACTATTGTATGGAATTGTGTAGTATCCAATTATTGACATTGCTAACCGACCCAAAGCAATTTGATTATAATTCAATTTGTGAATTATCCTTGACACCACATTGAAGTTACTCCTCTATGTCTTGGGTGCTAAGGTGATATATGGAACAACTTGGAACAATTTCGCCACATGTTTTACTGGGGGTTTGCGTGGAGGGGTTGGGGTGTTGCATACATATGATGGTTATTACAATTTGCTTGCGTTGCAGCCAGCAGGAACTTTGTTCATTGGACTGCATTTTCTTTTTTACATTGAACATTTTGTATTAATCTTGTTATTTCAGCTGTTTCCTTAATAGATTAACCTATGAATGAGTTCTATTGCCTTGCTGCTGAAATAATTTCTCTGATGGATTGCACTTTATCTGATGTCTACACTCTCCTGTTACTTGGTATCCTGAGATACTTCATTGGCCAAAACATTGTTTTTCTGTAAGCTCATAACCTTATCAAGAATAATGTCATTTATCATATATGTTTAAAGTTAATGCTGCATATATTTTAGATTCTCATATGAGATCATTTTTGTCTACATCAATATCAGATTTTACCTGTTTTGAGTTTACTGATGTTTTTATGATGACTAGTATGATTTCCTATATATCACATATGTGGATAGTTTCTGACATATGAATTCAACAGTATGAGGATTAATATGACTGGGTGTCTTATAGATATATCATATATTCTACAAACCTATATGTTGATGCTTTTAAATAAATTTGGTGGAGATCTTATTGGATTTCTTGTACAGACAAAAAAAGGAAATTCTGAAGAGGTGGAAATGGTCAGTAGGTTTATATAGGATTCCACCGATTCAGTTTCTTCCTAGAGTTCTGATATGGAAATGCGATTATCACAGTTATTTTGTTTAAATCAGCAGTTTACTTTTTTGGGTAGTGCTTAATAATCAGAAGAAGTATCTTTTGGTAAATTTTAAATCTGTACCATGACACAGGATCAGCCTTTTATTGTATAGGTTGTTTCCTGCTTCTCGGTACTAGTTTCAGGGTCCAATCCTAAATACTCGAAGCATTTGACTTAATTTGCGGAAATGATTGTATCATTTATATATCAAAAGAAGAAATATTTGGAAAGAAAAGCTTCTGGTACTTATAATTAAAGAAGAAATATTTGGACAGAAAAGCTTCTGTTACTTATGATTTCATAAACTTTAGCATGATCACCTTTGTCTTAATATATAAACTCAATGTAGTTTGTGATGAAAATGTGAGTTATTTTCTTGAGTTGATACAAGTCATGGCACTCTTTTCTGTCGGACAGGTGGAACTTCGAGATGTTGATACTGGGAACAAAATAACTGAAAGATTTCGCACTGATGAAGCTCTTGAGAGTATGTAATTAGTTTTTTATACTTGCCAATTAGATTTTTTTTTTTGGTGGAGCTATTTTTCGATTGTATGGTAAGTGGTAACATCAAAAGATCTAAAGTTGCACCTTGCATGTTGGGAATGCTGTGTTCTAATAGTACAAATGTCCCTTGCTTGCACTGGCAACCCTTGTGAGTAGAATTCACATGGGTGCTGATGGGGATCAACTCTGGCCATCTAGTTGATGCTTGATTAAGGTAATGACATGGTTTGAATTCTGCTAATTAAGTGCCATATCAGACTCATGCCAGTGAAGCTAAATAAGAACTAGAGGAATTGAATGCTAAGGTTGACAGCTCTTCATTTTTCTCTGTCCAAGCATCGAGGATGATATCAGGCAAGCTCCATATTGTGGCACTTGATTGCAAAATCAACCCTACTGGGAATGGGTTTGGTGGGTTCTCCCCAATTCTTAAGTCAAAAATTAAGTAGTTAAAATTTGAAGATAGCACGTAGTCTTTTGGCTGATTCCATTTAAAAGAGAGCCTATTACTTGAAAAGTCCCCTCTCACAGAGGAGGTTAGCCCTATAAGGGATTGGTTGCCAGTATAGGCTGGATATCAGATATATGACAGTACAACCTAGGTGACAACAGATTTTTATTGTTGCCTTAGGTCACATGCCTAACAAGTATTCACATATGTCATATATTGACTTATGCCTCATGGATCTTTCTGCAAGCGAACTTCATGTTAATTCAATTCTCAAGTTGATGATTGTGTTGGATGTGGATCCCCCTATTCTAGTATTCCTTATGACGAAGGACAAAATGGGGTATGATTGGAAATCACAATCTGCTTAAATTTCTCCCAGTCGAGAAGGACCATGCTTGCATGACCAAAGTTGAACTGTTATTTGCATACCACCATATTGTTAGGGATGTTAATGGGGGGGACCTTCATTGTCTCTTCTTAAAAGGCCCTTACGAGTTCACATCTCTATTCTTTTTGCTCTCCTTGTTCCGATACTTTCTTCACCTAGGTTTTTTCTTCTCTTTGGTGCTTTTATTCTGATTCTCTTGGTCTCTGGGTACCAACTTCTTTTTATGCAGGAACTGATGTTTCTTAATCTGTCTATTACTAAGTAGTAAGTACATTATAGAGTCATGCCTGCCCTTTTTGTGTAATGCAGGAGTTTTTGTTGAGGACAAGTCATTCACATACCTGTATCAGGAAGGCGAGTTTGTAATGCTAATGGAGTGAGTCATTTTAATTCATTTCATGAGTTGTTATGTACTATGTATTTTGAAAATTGGAAGCTAAACTTTTGATGCTTGATTTATTAGGCCCAACACGTTTGAGCAGATTGAAGTGCAGAAGGAGATGTTTGGCAAGGCTTCTGCCTATTTAAAAGGTATCACTTTCAAGAAAACTTATTTTGTCATTAGTGTATATGCATCATCAAAAAAAGGTTGACTTTATATCAATCAACTTAGCCATGGTAGGCAAGGGTGGTTGTCCTCTCTTTCTCATTATTCCTCAACTGTAATTTTTTTCAGAAAAAAAGGTTGACCAAAATCAATTAGTGTAGCCCTGGTAGGCTTGTGTTTTTCTTGTCTGGTATTTCTCAGTCATTTTGCTGATTGAAGGAGAATGTATTTCTATGATGTGTCTACACACCTGGTTCCAATTTTGTCCATGCCGCAAATAACTAAAGGTCTGTTTGATGACTTATATCCCAGTTCATTTTAATGGTATCCATCCTTGAAAAGTTGCACTTGCAAACAAAGTAACAACATTACTGTTTTGGGCAAGAAAAAATGTCCCACCCGATCTTAACAGAATCTAATAAATAATAACAAAGCTCCCATATATTAATTGCTGAAATTGGTTTAGAAAGATAATATTTATGATGCTGAAGAAATGTTTGATTAGTAGACTTTATAATATATCACTGGAAAGAAGGTCCATATTGATCCCTATGCATCTATCACAAAAACGAAATAGAATATAGAGTAACATATAGAGGATTTTGGTGACTATGAGGATGTCGAAGTCTTTTTTTGTAAACGGGCATTTTGGTTCTCGAAATAGAATATATTGCTGCTGAGTATGAGGGTAGTTCAAACTGTTAATTTTGCCTAAGCCGTACATGATTCTTGCGTGTTTGTACATAGAGGGTTTGTCTTCCTGTAACCTTGCAAGGACCCTATGGACTTGGATAAGAGAAAATGAGTTTGAAAACAAGCAAACATGCGGTCAAATTGCCGTCGTCGCTCTGTTGAAGCGCAAACTCGTGATCCCCACAAGTAGATATTAAAACAAACACTTGATTTGCAAATTACAAAGATAGAGTTCACAAGCTCTGAATGATTGAATGACAAAGGTACGAGGCAGCCTGCCGTTCACAAAAGTTCCTGCACACAAGTGCCCCTGCTATATTGCTATAAAACTATTTGACGGACTAACTGAAGAGACTAACCAAAGCCCCATCTAGTCATGTGTCAGTCAAGGTTCTAGGGGTCTAAGATGACTGACGTTTTAGGCCTGCTCTTCGCTCCAAGAAATCTTTGCAGGTTGCAAGTTAGGGGCTCTATTTTTGAGCAGTTTTGCCTTGGCCCAACAACCGCACAAAAGCCGTACTTATAAGCTAGGAAGGGCTACAAAACCCATCCAAAATGAGGCTGCGAAGTCCATTGTAAGCCTCTACATGCTGTCTAAGGCATAACAAAATAAAAAATCATGGGTATTAAATCAAACACTTGTGCTATGAATGGTCCATGACAAAGTGATAGGAGCTTTCGGTGTTTACACTGGTAAGATTTTGGTATCACTTGCTTATTAATTACTCACTGAAGAGGCTTTTTTATGTTTAGTCATAAATATAGATACTTCAACCTGTCAGACTAGTTGACATGGAATTTAGTGGCTTTTTTTTATTTCTCGAGTTTTTGTTGGCAGTTTCTCCAATAATATGCTTAAACAAAAATCTATTTGCGCATAAGCATCGGTTGTTGTTCCACATTTATTTTCTCATAGTTGAACTTGGTACCAAATGAGCAGAAGACATGACAGTGAGACTGCAGTATTATGATGGAAAACTGATGTCTGCATCAGTTCCTCATCGTGTAACATGCAAGGTTGTTGAAGCACAACCTAATATCAAAGGGCTAACAGCTGCTCCTCAGTAAGTTGTTTTTACATGTCATGGTACCAAAGGACTTGACCATAACTGGCCAAAGTTTCTTTAGGAAAGTTTCTATTTTATTAGTTATTTGATTTTCGTATATAAACTGATATATTATTGCTGTCTGAACTTATGCTGTTTTTCATATTAAAGAAAGACATATATACCTCACAAACAATGTCATTAAGAAGATATTGATCAGTATGTACCAGTTTGACCATTAAACATTGGTTCAAATATCCTCATATCATTCTCCTTGTCTTTCTTAGTTATTTCTTGGGGATATTCCTGCATAAGATTTATAAACAATTTTTTTGCATTGCTAATTTTCCTACTAAAACGGTGTCATTGATGGATAGTCATTGAGTCTTTTCATTTCCTTGTTTTTTCACTCTACTTGTTGTGACAAAATAGATATTCACTAAAGGCCTGTCTGAAGGTTACGAAGTTGCCTAAAATCTATCTCAATCTATTTCTATGGAATCTAGTTTTCTCATCAAACCTGACAAGACGTATGCCTTCCATAGTTTGCTGTAATAGCAGAAGCATGACCAGCCTCATCTTGCATCTCAATTTCCATTGGACGACCATCATTTGAATCTGGTGAAATCCATTGGCATAGGGAATTATTTTTTCCAACTTGTAATGTATGTTTGTTTTTAATCTCTTTAGTTTCTCTTTCATTTTGCAGCCAGAAAACAACCTGCAAAAAAATAAAAAAAAAACATAGTAAACCTGCTACTAAAAATATTTCTCTAGTTTACCACGTTGGTGTGGACCTATCAACTGGTTGTGGCCAGAATATTCTTCAACAGTTTGAGACAATGTTGCTTTAAATTCTCTAACTTCCTGGTTCAATCTTTTGATCATAGATCTTTAGGTCCATATTTATCTGACATATTTCTTAGTAATATTCTTGCTTTATAGTAAGATTTTGCCTTAGAGTCAACTTTTAGTTTAATTATAGCATTTCTTTGTTCCAATTTTGCGAATCATCTCAACAGCCTAAATTTCTGAAACCTCCTCCCTTCTTGTTGATCATCGAGTGCTAGAGAATACACAAACACAATATCATATATATGTGTGTGTGTACACACACACAC